ATTGCCAAGGCATGTTTTTGAAAGAATATAAATATGTTTTAGTGCTTGTAATTATATCTTTATTTGTAAATTCATGTTTATTGTTGTTTCTCTATTAAAAGACTACGTCTCGATCTGTATTTACAGTTGCATCTGCACCTGTGTAGCTATCATTGTTATTATCAATGTAAGTAATATAATCAATATCAGTAATATTATTAGTAGTGTATTATTGGTATTGTTATCTGAATTATTATAATTATAAGCATTTTTAGTATTAGTATCAGTATCAGTATCAGTATCAGTATCAGTATCAGTATCAGTATCAGTATCAGTATCAGTATCAGTATCAGTATCAGTATCAGTATCAGTATCAGTATCAGTATCAGTATCAGTATCAGTATCAGTATCAGTATCAGTATCAGTATCAGTATCAGTATCAGTATCAGTATCAGTATCAGTATCAGTATCAGTATCAGTATCAGTATCAGTATCAGTATCAGTATCAGTATCAGTATCAGTATCAGTATCAGTATCAGTATCAGTATCAGTATCAGTATCAGTATCAGTATCAGTATCAGTATCAGTATCAGTATCAGTATCAGTATCAGTATCAGTATCAGTATCAGTATCAGTATCAGTATCAGTATCAGTATCAGTATCAGTATCAGTATCAGTATCAGTATCAGTATCAGTATCAGTATCAGTATCAGTATCAGTATCAGTATCAGTATCAGTATCAGTATCAGTATCAGTATCAGTATCAGTATCAGTATCAGTATCAGTATCAGTATCAGTATCAGTATCAGTATCAGTATCAGTATCAGTATCAGTATCAGTATCAGTATCAGTATCAGTATCAGTATCAGTATCAGTATCAGTATCAGTATCAGTATCAGTATCAGTATCAGTATCAGTATCAGTATCAGTATCAGTATCAGTATCAGTATCAGTATCAGTATCAGTATCAGTATCAGTATCAGTATCAGTATCAGTATCAGTATCAGTATCAGTATCAGTATCAGTATCAGTATCAGTATCAGTATCAGTATCAGTGTCTGAAACTGAATCTGTATCAGTATCAGTGTCTGAATCTGTATCAGTATCTGAATCTGATCTGTATCTGTATCTGTATCTGTATCTGCATCAGTATATCTGTATCTGTATCTGTATCTGTATCTGTATCTGTATCTGTATCTGTATCTGTATCTGTATCTGTATCTGTATCTGTATCTGTATCTGTATCTGTATCTGTATCTGTATCTGTATCTGTATCTGTATCTGTATCTGTATCTGTATCTGTATCTGTATCTGTATCTGTATCTGTATCTGTATCTGTATCTGTATCTGTATCTGTATCTGTATCTGTATCTGTATCTGTATCTGTATCTGTATCTGTATCTGTATCTGTATCTGTATCTGTATCTGTATCTGTATCTGTATCTGTATCTGTATCTGTATCTGTATCTGTATCTGTATCTGTATCTGTATCTGTATCTGTATCTGTATCTGTATCTGTATCTGTATCTGTATCTGTATCTGTATCTGTATCTGTATCTGTATCTGTATCTGTATCTGTATCTGTATCTGTATCTGTATCTGTATCTGTATCTGTATCTGTATCTGTATCTGTATCTGTATCTGTAATCGATAATCGATAACTTGCTCCGTTTCCAAGCAATCGATAAAAATCGATATCGATATCCTGTTTTTGGGCAATTTTGGTAAATAATAAGAGCTAGAGTCACCAAACTTGACATATAGCTTCTAAAATACAATATATGTAAGCATTTGATGTTGGAAGAAGAGGGTTCAGGGCATCCCCTAGTTGGGAGCTCCCGACTATAACCTCTTGTTTTATTTATTTTTGTTGTCATACGATTTGATAATTTTTATGTTATACACTAAGCCAGCATAGAGATAAAATTTCGCTTGTCGAAAGTATATTTAGCGATTGTAGTTGCCCACGCTTTAATAATGCTTGGTTCATTGAATTTCATTCAATTAAATGCAGATTCTCGTAGACCTGCCGCAGGCGTAAGGTATAATCGCCATATTTTTTGCTGTTTGTGTTTAAAATAAGTTTATTTAGCTACTGGCCTTTCCAAACTGTTTTGACTTTTTGGCAACCATATTTGACAACTGAATTATTTTGGCCATCAATTGAAAAAGTGTCCGTACCTTTAATTAATATCATATTTTCAAGAGCTTAGCATAAAATGAATGTTTATTGCAAACTGCAGATTGAAAAGTTCCAGAATTGCTGTGCTCAGCAACTTTGTCTAGTGAAACATATGTAATTACTATTATTCCCTGTGAACTATTGAAAATATAAAGCGGGAATGATAAAGGAAAATTATTGGCAGCCCAACAAGACGTGGGACGGCAGACAAATGCAGCCCAGCCCAACACACAAATGGTTTCTAGATCGATAAACTTTGCAAGGAGCACACAATTTGTGTGTTGAACCTGCCACGCCCACTTCCTGGATGCTGTAGCATAGACAATAAATTCGAACAAAAGGCAACACATTCGTCGAGTGGCAGCAGCAGCAAAAGAAGAAAATTGTCAGAATCGTAGTGTGGTACAAGTTAAAAGAAAAAAAAAGGGATAGAGAGATGGTGCTAGAGAGAGGGTAGGGGACGAAAGAAACAAAGTGAAAACTGAAACCAAATACCCAAACACAAAATGGCAGCTCTTTAGCTGCGATTTATATTTGAAATGCCTTTGGGTGGCCACTGAAGCGGCAAATGCTTTTGCGGCATTGCCTCAAATGGAGCGAGGGCCCTAAAAAAATATATTGCACCGAAATTTATTCATCGACGGCAGTTGCAACTTATTTTTATGCCTGTTAATTGCCAGCCAGCCAGACCCTCCACCTTACTGATGCCAGTTTCGCACCAGGAATGGGTTCCACTTTGCATACGCAACTGTCAACTTTTGCCATTTTGGCAAACTTCACACCAGGCGGCTGCCAGCTCCCAGGAGTTATTTGTCTGTTCCCCCTATCCACTTGCCCATATGTGGGCATCATAAATATTTTCCAGTCCATTGATTTTTGGTCGCTGTGAATGTTGTCGATGTTGATGATGTCCGTCGGACGGACGGACAGAGCAAGAGCAAGAGCAAGAGCAGCGGCAGCCGCACCCAAAATTTGTGTTCCAAACAACAGTTTCTGAATTATTTCAACAAACTACTTGGATTTGAAATGCAATTTAGCGTAACACATAAATACATTTGTGCTTTTATATAAAGGCCAATCAATACGACAGTATCTTGCAAGAACCACTGGAATGTGAATATTAATTTTCGAAGGCGAAATGTATTTTGCTTTCAGACAAAAAAAGTTGGTTTATGATTACTTCAGTAATTTAGTCTGAATGAAGATCCATTCGCGCGCTTTTAATCAACGTTATCAACACATTTTGAAACTTTGCCTTTCTATGTGATTCTCAAGAATTCAAGTAAGCCTTTAAAGTTCTTATGCTCTTTATTATAAGTTTTGTAAAGGATAATTTTGTGGAATAGATAAATTTATATATATATATATATATATATATATATATATATATATATATATATATATATATATATATATATATATATATGCTTATATTATATAATTATATTTTTATGTATATACTAATTTTTATATCTATATGTGGATTATATATTTTTATATATTTATATATATATTTTTATGCAACTAATGCTTAAATTCAAATTTATTAGTTGTCGAAATTGTCATGAAATTGAATTTAAAATCATTTCCGTCGGTAATTTGCAACTTGTTGTTGCCTGTTACGCATAAGCTGTTATCGCTTCCCAACATCCCACTTCCCCCGCTCCAACTCGCTTAACGGTTGCTCTTTGGCTATGTTTTGTTTTGTTTTCAGCGACACTTGATTGCCTTTATGTGTGGTTGTTGTCGTTGTCGGTCGTGTACGTCAGCCGGGCTGACGCGCAAAAGTATGCTACACTTCAAATAGACTCAAATTATGTTGTCGCTGAGAGAGTGTAAGCAGGATAGACAGAAAGCAAGCAAGATGGAGTGTGAAGAGAAGGGCAAGAGTGTGCGTCTGTGTGTGTTTTTTGTTATATGTGCAGTGTTTTCTTAACGCCTTTTATGCCTGACAACAATTTTATGTGCTCATAAATATTTTTGCTCAAGTTAATTGAAACATTACCAAAAAATGCTTGTTGGCAAATATTGAAATATTTATGGGTTGGGCACACGCTAATGGGCTGTATATATGTTTTTCCTTTTCTTTTTTTGCTTGATAGGTTTTCTGTTAATAATTTATTGCCGGTTGTTTGTTTATAATTGATTGAATCGAAACCGAAATTTGTTCATAAAAATGAAGCTTTATTCTGTGCATCATTCTATTCGCATGTAGTTATTAGAGGTGTGCAAGTAATATTGTTTATTTAATTATTACTCAAGTGTAATCTAAGATCCTTACAAAAAATATTACTTAAAACACAAATATGAGAAAAAAATAAATATATTCTGAACTTATACTCCATAAAATCTTAATAACTACTAATTTATCTTCTTCTTGTCTTCAATCTCTTTGTCTTCAGTGACGCATTCATGGCATTTAACTTGATCATTTTGCTTACGCAAACTGTCCTCTTGCCTTACTACTTCGTCAATTGATTTGGCCACATAATCAATATTATTTAAATTTAATCCGCAGACATTGATGCGCCCGCAGTTTAGCAAATAAATATGTTTCTCTTTTAACAATTTATGACACTGATTCGCTATTAAGAAAGATTTTAAGATTTAAATTAGTTAAGTTTCTTTCTACGTACGTGGCAATCCCAAAAATGAGAACATTCCACACTGTTTTTCAATGTGATCCCATGTACCTGGAGTTTCCAGCTCTTTGAGTTTATTGGTTAACGCTTTTCGCATTTTTTTAATACGATCGACCATTTCGCCAATAGTTTTTATCCTGCATAAATAAAATTGTATGTAATGTACTATTCTCTTCTGCCCATTTAAATAACACGCACCATTCTTTTTTGTGATTTTCGTCCGTTAGGAGTTTTGCAACAACTCGACTACAAAATGCAGGTGGATTTGAATAATTTGTTCGAATTATAATCGTAAACTGCGAAGCTACCGCCTCAAAATACTTTGCTTCCTTCAACACGACTATCAGATTGCCAACGCGCTCATCTGTAATTCCAGTAGAAATCAGCAATTTATGAAATTAGCACATGTGTTCCTCATACAAGAACTCAAGTGATAACTATCTAATGTGATTCTAATATGGTTCGTTTAAAAAAAGGCACTGGCTCTAGCACCAGCAAGAATCATTAATATAGCTTTGGAACATCCGTAAATCACACTGTGTAAACAAGCCTCTCACTTACTGTATAGGCCCATATTTTTGGAAAACGATTGTGCTATTAATGTTTCAATGCCCTCTTTGACAAAGTATCTAACTGCCCAGGTATCGCGCTCCGGATCCCCACTTGCAAATCCTTGATAAGCAACATCAAAGAATGGGAACAGATTGCGCTCTTTTATAACTTGTGCTATTTGCTTCCATTGTCTTTTAGTAGGATCCATTCCAGTCGGATTGTGTGCTGAAGGCTGCAACAAAACAACATCACCCTGATTCGCTTCATTAAGGGCAGCCAATAGCTTGGGTATATCAATATTTCGTTTTGATGCATTCCAATAGGGATAACCCTTTAGGGTTTTAAATCCAGCCTGTTTTAAAATAAGGGAATGATTCTTCCAAGTAGGGTTTGACATGTAACAAGTTCGTTTCTTTAAATGTTGGCTTATAAATTCAACAGCTATTCGTAGTGCACCGCTGCCTGAAATAGTCTGAACTCCTACAATCTGAAGGTAGAAAAAACATCATTAGGTGTAGTAGATGCGCAAGAGGAATTTCTAGTCATTTCTAGTTACACGCTTTTCTTCAATTGCCTTGCAGTCCTTCCCTAAAATGAGTTCGGTTGCTGCTTTTGTAAACTCTGGATTCCCAAGTACGGGTAAATACTCAAAATTTAAATCTGGATTTTCAACTAATTGCAATGCACATTTTTTTACAACCGGCAATATGTAAGACTGGCTTTCTTCGGTTCGATACACTAAAGCATAAATGCTTTCAGTTTTTAGTGAACAGCAATAAAACAAATCAATCTAATCCGCTTACCACCTACTCCTAAATTTACTTTATTATCGTTCTTGTCTTCCTGAAACAGATTTGTTAAATGAGAAACCCCCATGGGAGGTAATGTTTTAATATTTTCGAAGGCAGATTTCTCACAGTCGTCCGATCCGCAATAGTCACGGCTGGTATATTTGAATAAACTGAGTAATATTTTGGTTATTAACGTACATATTCATTGGGTGGTTTGTTACTTTAGCTTGGATAAAAGCGAATAACTTGAAAATTTAAGCATAATGGAAATAAAATTGAAAATTTGGAACAAAACCGAAATAAATTTAAGATGAATGTGCTATGAATGCTTATTCAAAGACTATGTTGACTATTTGGATGCTTGCTTGTTAGCCTTGTATCTCTACTCAGTAAAGCGCCCAACACTATTGCAAATCCACTCTTAAATAACATCGGTATTTCTGGTCCGATTTATAGATCTATTTTTTATTTTAAATATATTTTTTTTTGTTTATTTTTAATCTGGGATTGTTCTTTAAAAGTAATACATAAAAATTTGTAAGCAGTGCTTAAAGCCATGAAAATCGCGTAGAAGGGCGTTTGGACCAAAAGGAGTTGGTCTGCTGTGCTCACTGAAGGGCTTTTGGATGTAGTACATAGAACAACCTAATAAACATCATTGTCATATGCAGGAAATCTCAGCTTCCGGTTCGACGAGAGCCATGTTTCTTTGCTAAGGTGGAAATAAAATAAATTATTTACTTTTTATCCTCCTCTCATTAATTTCATTCTAGTTAGTCATCGCTTTTTATGCCTTTATTTGATTCCAAATTGGCAGTATTCTCACTCGAACTACATGTTCTCATATTGTTATCTTTATCACTCGCATCAATTATCTCTTTATCACTCGAACCAGTTATCTCAGTGCAAGTCTTATCAGTCGAACCAATTGCATTCTCATTTTCCTTATCAATTGAGCCAATTATTTCTTTAGTGATGCCCTTATCACGCGAAGCAATTGACTCCTTATCGTTATCAATCGAACCAATTATATCTTTGGTGCAATCCTTATCAGTCAAACCAATTGTCTTATTATCCCTATCAATTGAACCAATAAACTCGTTAGTGATGTCCTTATCACTTGAGCCAATTGTCTTATCATTTTCAATCGAACCAATTATATCTTTGGTGCAATCCTTATCAGTCAAACCAATTGTCTCCTTATTATCCTTATCAATTGAACCAATAATATCGTTAGTGATATCGTTATCACTCGAACAAATTTTCTCCTTTTCTTTTTCAACCGCACCAATTATATCTTTGGTGCAATCCTTATCAGTCAAACCAATCTTCTCCCTATTATCCTTATCTATTAAGCCAATTATCTCGTTAGTGATGTCCTTATCACTCGAACCAATTTCCTCCTTATCTTTTTCAACCGCACCAATTATATCTTTGGTGCTATCCATCTCTTCAGTGATGGCCTTATCAATCGAACCAATTATATCTTCAGAGCAATCCGTATTAGTCGAACCAGTTATTTCTTTAGTGCAATCCATGTCACTTAAGCCGGTTATTTCAATAGTGCAATCTTGATCAGCCGAACTAAATACCGGTATGGTACAATCTTTATCAGCCGATCCAATTGTCTCCTTCGTGTTATCTTTATCAGTCAAACCAGTTATATCTTTAGTGCACTCCTTATTTGCCGAACCTGTTGACTTTGTAGTGAAATCATTATCAGTCAAACCAATTACCTGCTTAGGGCAATCATTATCAACCGATTCAATTGCCTCCATTGTGTTATCTTTATCAGCCGATGCAATTATCTCTTTAGTGCAAGCCTTATCTTCCGAACCAATTGCCTCCATTGTGTTCATTTTATCAGACGAACCAATTGAGTCTTCAGTGATATCCTTATCAGTCGAACCAATTGACTTTTCAGTGATGTCCTTATCATTTGAAGCAAAAACCTGCTTATTGCAATCCTTATCACTCAAACCAATTGTTTCCTTAATGTCATTCTTATCATTGGAATCACTTGCTTCTTCCTTGTTATACTTATCACAGGAACCACTTGCCTCAATTTTGTTATCTATTTCAGTCGAACTAATTATCTCCTTGTTGACATCCTTTTCACTGTTTTCCTTCGCAACCGAACCATTTGCCTCGTTATTATTATCACCTCCAGCAGCTGCACAACTCGCATCCTTAATAACTTCGCTTATAGATTCGGCTACATATTCGAGATTTTTCGAGTTCAATCCACAGATATTTATGCGACCCGATCGAAGCAAATAAATATGCTTATCTCTGATCAGCTTTTCACATTGTTCCGCTGCTGAAAAAATTGAAGTTTAAAAAGGTTCTTTAGAAAATAATCCCACTTACGTTGTAGACCCAACATTGAGAACATTCCACGCTGTTTTACAATGTGATCCCATGTACCGGGTGTCTCCAGCTCTGTGAGTCTTTCGGCTAATTCTCTTCGCATAGTCTTCACACGATCTGACATTTCGCTTAAATGTTGTAGCCTAAATACAGGGGAATACTAATTCATATACTTTTTTGTCTAGTGTTATAAGTATCGTTTACCAAATATGTTTATTTTCCTCGCTTGTCAGCAGCTTTGCAACTATACGACTGCCAAACGCGGGCGGATTTGAATAGTTATTCCGAATAAGATTTGTTATCTGTGAGGTTACAGCTTTGGCATGCTTTGCATCTTTCAACACGACTACCAGATTGCCTATCCGCTCATCTAAATTCAATGAAAATCAGAAACTCATGAACCTCATCAGGAAGTTAAATTCAGAAAAGCTCGTTCAGGCTGTTTCTAAAATCCTTGTGTAGTAAATAAACCGCATGTGTATTATAAACCACAAAACAAGACAAATAATTATTCTGAACGAGCCTTTAAAATACACTCACTGTATAAGCCCATGCTTTTGGAGAAAGATTGTGCTATTATTGTTTCAATGCCCTCTTTGACAAAGTATCTTACGGCCCAGGCATCGCGATCCGGATCACCACTTGCAAATCCCTGATATGCAACATCAAACAATGGGAATAGTTTACGCTGTTTTATAACTTCGGCAATTTGTTTCCATTGTTTTTTTGTGGGATCCATGCCCGTGGGATTGTGAGCCGCGGCCTGAAATACAACTATGGCTCCTTCTGGGGCTTCGCTAAGCGCCGCCAAAAGCTTGGAGATATCAATTTTATGTTTTTTGGCATTCCAATAGGGATAATGCTTAAGGTGCTTGAATCCAGCTGCCTTAAAGACACCAAAGTGATTATCCCAAGTGGGCTGTGGCATGTAACAAGTGCGTCGCTTCATAACTTGGCTCATGAACTCAGCAGCTACTCGAAGGGCACCGGTGCCTGAAATAGTTTGAGCAGCCACAATCTGAGGGTGGAAAAACTCCATTGTGATGCAAGAGAAGAATTCCTATTAATCAGAATGCTCACTCGGTTTTCTTCTATTGCCTTGCAGTCCTTCCCTAAAATGAGTTCGGTGGCTGCCTTTGTAAACTCTGCATTGCCCAGTATGGGTAGATATTCATGAGTCATGTTGGGGTCTTTAATTATTTCCAATTCACACTTTTTAACAACTGGCAATACCAAAGGCTTGTTTTCTTCAGTCCGATATGCTGCCAAATAAGTGATTAGGATTCTCAATTGCGTCTCAGTATTAACTAAATCCCGTATTACTGGGATTTGAGTCCACCTACCGCCAATTCCTAAATTGACTTTTTTCTCATGCTTGTCCTCCATATAAAGCTTTGTCAAATGAAAAACCTCAATCGGTGGCGCCGTCTTAATGTCGGCGAAGACTGATTTCTGGCTCTCATCTGATCCGCTGTACTCACGGCTGGAGAACTTAATAAAACTGGGAATTGTTTGGGAATCAAAGGGATATCTATGTGTTGCTTATAGGCATTTTTACCTGTTTTTGGATGCAAATAAATGGCTGGGATATCTAAGCATAACGAATACCATTAAGTAAAATTTAAAAATTTAGATACTAACGTGCAGAAAATTTTGATTGTTTTTCAAATGAAAGATATATCAATGTGTTTTAGAAAACTATTCAGAGTTGTTTATGGAAAGTAAATCGCGTGTGTGGAACTTCGCCAGCATATCGCCATGAGAGAAAACTAGAAAACTGCGCCAATTAATCTTGCCTTTCTCAATGGCCTGCATTCTAAAGAAGATTTGTAGACTGCGCAATGAATGGCGTAGATGTCAGTTTAAGTGATTGTAAATTTGAGATGTATTTAACAGCCAGCGTTCCGCTTTGGATTTATTTGCCAACGATTTTAGTTTGTTTGTGGCACAGGAACTCGAATATGACCGCAGCAAATCGCTGCCTTGTTTGTCTTATATACCGGACTCTGCCACAACAACAGCAACAATAACAAAAACAGCCAGAACAACAACAACACAATTTAAATGTTTTCATTGAAAGTTGCGTAGCTGCTGCTGCTGTGGCTCGCGTTATCTTCATTGTTTGGATTTCAGAGCTTCGCATGGCAGACATATCAGGCAGGCCAAATATTTGATGGGTGCGTTGGGTTCAGCAAGGCGAAAGGAAGCCACCGGCAAGCAACAAACGATTTTCAGCTACATTCAAATGGGCGTCTCGTCAGTCTATCTGGGTCATAAACTTAGTTAATTGCTAGGCTATCCCGCATGTGATTTCATTGCACTGATTAACTGTAAATATTTTCTTTTAAATGTGCACAAAAATTATTTTACTGACCTTTTCCACTTTTCTTTTATAACATCTTATCGGGAAAAATCAAACCTCGATCTTTATTTCTGCAAACGTCGAATTACTTAATAGAAATTTAAGAATATTATTTCGATTTATTTTTATATATGTTGTAAAAATTCTTGTACTAGGGCTAGACAGTCTAGAGTGGGTAACAAAGTGAGCTGATAATCGTTCCGGGATATTCTTTAAATAGCTATTAAATGAAGACATGCTTACTTCTGTGTTAGGAATAACATTGGCCCAGTGCTAAAGGCATATTGTGATGTTTTGGGAGAGTTAAATTTATTTTCTTTAATTGAGACTTTATCATACAAACTTTTTAAATTTATTTCTCTTAATTCTATATCAAACGATTTCATATAAATAACCAAAGATCTCGACTAGGAAACTTGACATACCAACTGATTTGGACGTGTTCTAATTTAAATTAAGCCTCTTTCATGTCAATGTTTTATAAAACAAAAACCAAGCATATATTAAAAAAAATACATGTGGATTTTTAGCCACATGCGAATCTGAAGGGAACAATATTATATTCAAGTAAATTTACATTTTTGCCTAATTACATTCTCTGCCAAATCTATTTGAGTACTTGTGAGTGTATTCGTGCAAATATTGCCATCAATGCGGGTTGATTGTGTGATTTGTTTTAAATTTTAGAGTAGTCATAAAGCCAGTTCCAGAAGTTTGAAGGAAGGCAACTATTTCTATATATCCCGGATAACCTATCAGATGTTTTGCCAGCTTGTTAAACAAGCCTGTCGAGAGCTACATATAAACTTACACTGTGAGCAGTTATAGCTAAAGCTCTGCTCTGCCCTGGCATGCTCCGCTTGACCTTATCCATAAAATACTCGTAACCCGTTTCCGCTGCACATTTGCACAAACAATCAAGGCGACCGCATCGGTGAGGCATGCTTAATGGCCTGGCATTGCGGATGGAAGAGGAAGCCATTTTTATACATTTTATGCACACACGCACACAAACATGGTTAACGCTAGCGTAGCTATCAGCTTTTTGTCTTCCTTGCTCATCAATTGGCGCAGAGACGCTGCTGCGCCTGCAATTTATTTTTTATGCATGAAGTGTAAATTAAAATTAAATTGACTGTGTGAAGCTCACGTTAGAAACATTTTTTTGTTTCCCATTACGTGCCACGCGGCGTATGAATAATAAAAAATGGCCACGCCAGCAGCAACTTAAAGGTTGCCAATGACCGCCGCACGCTGCGTGCCGGCCGCTCCTACCATTTATTTATTATCACATATTCATACGGCCCTTTTATTTTGTGTTTTTAATTAAGTTATAAAATATTAATTTGTTCTGTTGTTTTTATGGCTGTTGCATCGTGCTGCTGCTGCTGCGGTTGACATGCATTTTGCGGTCTCGTAGTGCTGCAGCTCTGTGGCAATTTGGTGCCTCCATCCTTCCCCAGATCAACGTTTCCCGCTGTGCTCAGTGCCAGTGACAGTGTCAGCGGCAGACGAGGCAGCGGTTCAGGTTTATGTGCGTGCCAGAGTTTATTGTGTCGCCCAGAATCCAACGTATTGAATATCGCTGTCGCTCTGCTCTATATAACTTTGCTTTCAGCTTGCTTTTATCCCTCGCACAGGCTGCTGCTGCGCCTGCTGCTGGCATTTTACGCGTCATTTAACCCATTCGATTTGGGTTTCAAATGCAACAAATTCTTACTATTCTCGGCGCCACCTGCCTCGAAGCAGCTGCTGTTCCTGTAAACTAGATTGGCGAGGGTTGAACTTGGCAACGTTTGTTTTGCAGTGGAAAACAGAGTACTTTGTGATTCTATCCGCAGAGTTATGTTAAATTGATAAAAGGTTTGCAGTGAAATTTGTTCGGTTCCTAATGCTGATCGACTAAATTATATTTATAACTCAGAGTAAGAGACATGTCCTCCTCCTTTCTTTCTGACTTCGAGTTTATACTATAAGTTACTTATTACCTCTCCTAATATTCTTTTCTGTTTCTTGTGTTACTTATGACTATTTCCCATCATTGTCCATCAATACATATCCAGTAGTTCATAGAGCCTTCACTTAAAAAAACTCCCAGTCGGGCTTATCTATCTGTCTTCATGTAGTTATTCATTGACAACTTTATAATCCTTTGTATCTGTTAATCCCGCATCACCATCTTCCGCCACATCATGCATGCGCTTCCGTTTCGTTCTTGCCATTTTTTAATCTTACAATTCCACAACCTAACCCAACTTTCGTTGTGCTGGCGCTAGCTGCTGCGGACTGTAACATGACAGCTGTCATATGTTGCTATTCCATATCACATTTTATAGCATAGTTTTTTTTTCTTCCGCATTCCTTTCCTATCTGAGCTTTGTTTTGTGCCGTTGCGCTTTACTATCAATTTCTTCTATTCGTATCACAGCATTTTTACGCACAGCACGTGCTGTGAATGCGGCTCTCTCCCACTCTCAGCTAGCCGAGAGCTTTCGCTCTCACTTGTGCGCACTTCATCCTATTTTTCTTTGTACTAGCTCTCTCTCATGGTCTCTGTATCTGGCTTGTTCTCTTTGGCTGATTGGAAGTTGAAACTTTTACTGTGTGCGCGTGTAGACAATACATTTGATTTTCTTTTTCGCCATTTTCATTGTTTCTGTTTTGCTCTGTTTCATATTTCAGCTGTACCACATTTGGCCCATGACTTTGGCAGCGTGCGGAACTCTCAACGCACGGAAACTAAAGCCTGCATTTAAAAGTAAATTATTGTGCCAGCACACACACGCACACGCACACACAGATAGTTGGAGACCCTCTATTTTAGTCATAGTTTCAAGCACCTCTTGAGCGTACGTTGAACTGCTGACCCAAACACCTGTCTAGATTGCGGACTGCGATTGTATTTCGGTTTTTGGGGGTCGACAGTTGACTAGTATATTCGTCATTCTTTAAATATAGTTTGTGTTCCGTGCTGCGGGGAACGGCATGTGCTTAATTTTATTACTCTATTTAGGAAAATGTGGGGATGTGATTTAGTGCGGAAAATTAAAAGGGTTTATGGCTTTATGGATAAGTGGTTGTAGGGCAAATAATAGGCAGATCCGCTTTGGGGAGACTGAAATTCTTTTTATGAGACAATAACGTACAAATATTTGTTGACGTCTTGCAAATGCAAAAACATTTTTACTGTCTTTCCTGGAGATCTACCATATATATACTTTTAGAATATTTTTTAATCTAGGACATTATTTACAACTACAAATATTAAAAGTGTCCATTTTAAATATTGTTTCTTAGATCTATTCACCGCAAAAACATTTGTTTGTTGGGTTCTGTTAGTTGGGCACGGTTTTAAAAATATAAAAACATAAACATAATCAATACCTGTCAGCCGCACAAGTTGCCAATTGAGGTCAATCAACAGCCAGAAAAATTGAAATAATAATAGCAACAACAAGGACAACCGTCTGAATTAATGATGAAATCGACGGTAGACCATTATCATTATGATCATCATCGACATTATTGTCATCATCGTCGTCCTGAAATAATGACATATTCCTGGCTCACGAGCAGCTCATTAATGTTTTTGTCCGCCATTTAGTCTGCATCTTTCTGTTTTGCTGTCCCTTTTCGTTTCACAGCGATCCGCATCCTTTTGCACCTTTCTGCTCTATGGTTACGTCAAGGACTTCAATTATTTGCTGTGCTTTCAGTTCTGCCATTGAATAGAATTTAACGCCCATTGTTTGGTCAGCCATCGTCGTCGTGGGTGGCGCTATTGTTCAACGCTAATTAAAAGAATTTTTCAGCAGATGTTTGCGGCTGTTCCTCGTTTTTCCCAGGTTTTATTATTTTTGGTATCGACTGTAGCTCCATTGTGTGTAGGCGCATGTCAAAGGTGCACATCGTATTTCTGGTTTCCACGTACGTTTTCGGCCATTTTAGCTAATTGAATATGCATTTGATTGACATATAATTTTTGCATGTACTCCTTAACTAACCCCGTGTTGAACCATTTAAATGAACCCAAATGACCTTTGGGTGGTGTAAAGTTTTGAGCTTAAAAATGGTTTCGTTCGTTTTGCTTTTTGTGTTGCCATTCTGCGCGTTGGTCCAGAAAATTTATTTTTATAGGCATTTGCGTAAAGTGCTTTTCAAAGCAATGTTGAAAAAAAAACAAATAAGTAGAATGTAACAAAATCGGCGGTTTTTAAATGGTTCAGCCCTCCTCCAACGGCCGCCCGTTGGTGTCTTTGACGGTTAACGAAGTGTAAATATTTGTAAAAAAGCGCCTG